ATTTATATTGTTAAATTTATTCTGAGCCCACCTGAAAAGGGAAGAGCGCATCTGATTTAGGATTTAATGCATTGGGCTAGATATAATTAGATCCCTTAACCTCTAGGTCAGCCTCCTCTATTCAAAGAATCTCAAGGACTCATTCATTCATCCCTTTATTTCTCCAGTTTGCATTAGGTGTAACTATCTCATATCAACAGGCATGCATACACACAGGCTAGATTACTTCTTCTCAGCATCATACTGTTCTGCTTTCTAAATACTTTTCTGTTATCTGATCCTTTTAACTGAGTAACCTTCAGAAATTGAACTTGGGACCTTTGATATGAGGAGCATGTGATTTGCTCTTGAATAGTAGCCCCTCCCTAACTGATCATTACAGCTGTAATAATGACTAGATACTGTATAACATTGTGTTGTATCGTTAGCTTCAAGAAAGGTGGAAAGAATTCAAAATTGGCCATCTGCAACCAAAAGAAGTTTTGCAATTGACTTTAGTGCAATGAGAATTGCCCCCTCCCCACCCCAAAGTAAGGTGATGCTTCTTGTTTATTAGGCTGCAAGCATTCCTGCCTCCTGCATTTGTTTTCCAAGCAGAATGAAGGTTAGCCTAAGTTCCAGTGGGCAAACAAAGCAAAATAAGATGTGCAATTTTTCAGAATACACTCAACTACATGACAGTCTGCGTGACTCTGATCTGTACTGGGACAACTGTAAGGAGCCAGGTCTGGATTCATATGCGGTAGCCTGGCATGTTAAGGCATGATCTGAGATCAAACGGAAGACAACTATGGAACAAGGCAAATCCATTGTTTCATCTTGGGATTTCCTTAGGTAGATGAAACAACATGGTCATGGAAAGGCACCAGGTCTTTGAAGCTACTGAGGATGCAGATAGCAGACTAACCCTGTCATCCTACACATTCTTAGCTAGACCCCTAGAACTCAATGAGATATATTATGTGTAGATATTCATACAGTTTCACTGTAATATCTCCCAAATAAAATCTCAATAAATATTTTTTTATTATCTAGAAGAACGTTAGGGAAATAGAGAAGCAAAGGTTTGACAAGGCTTCAGTAATCTTGGAGAATCAGGGTTAGGTATAGTTCAAAATAGCCTTGCTACAGCCTTCTTCAGACCTTAGAATTCAACATCTTAAAATACGTATCTCCTGATTTCTTGACACCTCTTGGCTATTCTGTTCTCAGATCTCAGACTTATGGAAAACTTGATGCTCAGCTATGTTATTTTAAGGAGTTGGATTCAAGGGTTCAAGTTGAGTTATTGATATTCTCACAGGAGCTAGGTATTCCGTCTCTTTTTCCTACAAAGCACTTAAACATCTTTATATGGCTCAGCCATATAGTTTCCAATGATAATTCTAATTAAATTAGCATTTCTCTATGCATTCATGGATATTGTGCATTGAAACATAACAATACAGAACTCATTTATTTCTATGATTTTTCTCCTGTTTCATGCTGCTGTTTTATTGCTTGGCATTGCTTCATTTTAAAGAAACATGTAACCTATTATATTCTGCTCAGTAAACTGTGGGTTTTGGTTGGCCTAGAAATGTAAATAATTAAATAATATAACATTTAAATAAACGAGTAAATAAAATAATGGAAGTTTGAAACTGATAGCCCTTTGAAGTAGCTGAAGCACAACAGTCTGTCTCTATCTACAGCTGCATTAAAATTCTTTTTTTCCCCTCTCCATACAATCACGTCTTGTTGATTTCATTAGGAGATCTATAAAGTTTCCCTTCTCAAAAGTTATCAAGGAAATAATACATGAATGAAATTTATCCAAATCATGAAATCGGGTAGAAAAATTTAAAAAGAAAATCCAAAAAAGCAAAAAGGCACTAGGAATGATCCTATTTTAAAGCAAAACTGAAATGCAAGGCTATCATCTATCTATCTATCTATCTATCTATCTATCTATCTATCTATCTATCTATCTAATTTGTAT